ATTTTTTGTTGAAATTTTTACTGCTTCGCGGTCAACTTTCTGCAGCGCAAAAGCAAGTTGAAAATTATTCGAGTGCTCTAAAGAGTTCTCTCCAGCATCGCATAAACTGCAAGTATCACTTTTTGGTACACCAAAAGATAAGTTAAACCTTGTTTCAAATATATGTCTGTAAAAAGAGGCCTTTACGAAATATTTAGTTTCGAGATTTTTGGTTTGACAATCCTCTATATACAGTTGATGAAGTCGGTTAATATTTAGTAAAGGGGAAAGGTATTTTTATGTGGGTTTTTAGTCGTAGAATAATGTGATTCTTCTGAAGGAAACTGCTTGATATTATTTTCAATGTAGTTTATTACTTCATCGGATATTTTTTTTGGATTTTTGTGATACCCTTGCTTATGTGGTGAAGGCATTACCTGGCCAGATTTTAAGTCATTTTAAGCTTTAAAGACTTTTTTTCGTCCAATTCGGTATAAAGGGCAGAAAGCATCTTTACACACTAGCGTATTTTCTTTATCACACGTAATAAAATATTAAAAGCTGTAAGCTTTCGTTTTTATATTTTTACGAGAGCGGTGACGATTAACTTCCTGCATCTTAATACTTTTAAAAATTAAAATATTTTTGGAATTTGTATCTAGCTTATAAAATTTTCTTAGAATTTCTTTTCTGCTTGCAATACTAAACTTCTCAGAACAGTTTAGTCTACATTTTTCTTTACACAGTAAATCTCTTTTAATTGTTTTTTCCTAGATCACTTTACCAGTCTTTTGAGAAATATATTCTTTACCTTGTTGTCTTAACCTTGCAGCTTTATTTCGTTTCCAATTATCAGGTTTCAGGACTTTTTTTTAGTTATTTTTAAAATTGGTTTAACAATTTTTCTTCTACTTATTTCATCGGCAGTAACATGGAATTGCTGATTATGGTTTTCTATACGTATTTCCCGAGGTATTTCCTCCTGCACTTCGTCAATCCTATCCGGGGTTTCCCTGCTGTTTGTTGGAACCTTAAAAATATCTTAGTTATTTATTAAATTTATACTTATTTCTAATTTCTATTTTTATTTCTTAATTTTAACATTTTAAGCTTAACCTTTTTAATTTGTTGGTTATCGGAAAACATTTTACGTTTGACTCTATTAAGATCCAAATATTTGTTTATGAGACTCGTCGAATAAGAAATATTTGAGTTATCAGAATCCTCTTCAGAATCTTCTTCACTGGAAGGGGAATATTCGATGCTTGATGTAACACTTTCATCAGTACAATTATCCATATAGTCTAAAAATTTTATTTATGTACATAGGTAGGTATGTACATAAATAAAATTGTAGGTAAATTGTTATTAAAAAGAGATGATTAATGAATAAAGGTAGTAAAAAAATTTTTAATATGCTTACCTGCTTTAGAGTTGACCTTCTTTTGAAGTCCACTAATGCTTGGCTGCTCCAAAATCACCGCATTGGTATTGACCTCTAGATAAGTACAAACTACAGTTTCTATCTACAAAAAAGTTCTCTATTCGGACTTACCTTTATTTGAAACACGTATTTTCTTGTTTTTTACTAATTCTAATATTCTTTTACTTCTCGAACCCATGTTGAAAGATGTGGTAAACAACAAACATACCCTTAAATGTCACATGGCACCTACCACGTAAATAAAACTATCCCACTATCTAGTGGATGAAGGTGCTATGTCCTTAAATGTGGATATAGCACCTTTATCTAATAAAAAAGGGTACTTAGTCATAGAACATAGTACCTTTATCAATTAAAAGAATCCTTATTATCAACAATTAGGGAATCTTAAGTTATTCAGGGGTTGTATTACGACTTTAGGTAACCAAATATACAAATAAGTCATTTTTTGAAAAAAATGGACATAGCACCTTTATCAACTCATGTCTTCAATTATTTTAAATTAAATGTTTGAAATGCCATCCATCTGTTCCTGCCATCACTTTCTGAAGTAAATACTTACAACAGCAAAAATTAGTAAAAATAATAATGGACGTTAACTCATAAACACTGAAACTTTTTGTCAAATATTAATTCAAGCAAGTGATAGTGGGATAGTTACTGTAATATTTATAGACGTAAATATTATAACTTTGTGAATTGTCATCAGTTGTCAATTGTAATTTTTACTTTTGAATACTAAATTAAAATTGAAAATTAAATTAAAAAATTTTACAAGTATATTAGATCTTCGTTGACAACAAAAGTTTCTATACGTTTACTGGAAAATCATGATGGGGATATATCCCATAATAACTATGAGAATGCCGAAGTCCTCGTCAGTACTTTCTCTAAGGTTTTCTCTGTCGAACCCACTAATCATCAGTTGCCTAATATTACTTCGTCACGAGTTTCTTCTTCCCTTGAAAATATAATCATAACTGTACAAATGTACAAATAAGTCATTTTTTGAAAAAAATGGACATAGCACCTTTATCAACTCATGTCTTCAATTATTTTAAATTAAATGTTTGAAATGCCATCCATCTGTTCCTGCCATCACTTTCTGAAGTAAATACTTACAAAAGCAAAAATTAGTAAAAATAATAATGGACGTTAAGTCATAAACACTGAAACTTTTTGTCAAATATTAATTCAAGCAAGTGATAGTGGCATAGTTACTGTAATATTTATAGACGTAAATATTATAACTTTGTGAATTGTCATCAGTTGTCAATTGTAATTTTTACTTTTGAATACTAAATTATGGCTCACCTAAATAAAACACAACGCATAGAAATATTAATTCTTAGCGGATTCGGAGATAAAAAAAGAAGAGAACACAGAACGAGGTATGCAATTTATTCAACGCAAAATATACATACAGGCCCATCAGTCAATCAACAGTAAGTAAAATAGTCCGAGAATTTGGAGAAACTGGAACTGTGAACATATTCCAAACGCTGGGCGTCCTAAAATTGAAAAGAATATGAAACTTGTTATTTTATTAAATGTACGTTACAATCCTACCAGTATTTCAACACAAATGGGTGAATATGCTAAAGTTTCCCAATGATTGGTATTATGTATTTCTAAAAAAAAAAAGAAAAATACCATCCCTACAAAATTCAACTACATCAGGAATTAAACGACGATGATCCCATTCGAAGGTTTTAATTTTCTGAAACGATGCAGGATTTATATATCCGCAATCCACATTTCATCAATCAAATCCTTTTTTCCGATGAAGCCACATTTCTTATACATAGTACCGTGAATCGTTAAAATTGCAGATATTGGAGTCAAAAAAACCCATATGAAGTGACTGAGTCACACACGAAATATCCTCAGAAAGTAAATGTATCGGCAGGGATTATTAAAGACAGAATCATTGGCTCTTTTTTCTTTAAAGAAAATCTAACAGGAGAACTTTATTAAACTTTTTTGAGAAATCAACTTATATCTGTCCTTGCTAACATGTATCCAAATGCCAATAATCCAAATTTACCTAGTGAAAATATCTGGTTTCAACAAGATGGAGCCCCTTCGCATTACGCACGTGAAGTACGTCAATTTTTAAATCACTGCTTTCCCAGGAGGTAGATCAGATATTTTCCACATCTGCTAAGATTATACTAACAGTGCTGAGTGTGACTCATGTTACATCGGCCAGACAGGGACATCACTGGGAGGGCGTCTTACGACACACCGTAGTGATATTAACTTATCTAAGCATACTTGTGCTCTTGCCCAGCATGCTATTAACACTAAGCACAAAGTGAATGTTAATGAAGTTAAGATTTTTGGCAATGAACGCAATATCGTTAAAAGACAGTTTTTGGAAATGTGTTCAATACTTAACACCCTAATGCTCTTAATAAGAGAACTGTCGTTAGTCATTTGAGCCAAATTTATCATGCATTCATTTTGCAGAATTAGGCTTAATATATTGTTTACTTTAAAATGGTCCCTTAAGATGTATGTTTTTTCATATTTTCATTTAAATAATTTCAAATAATAATAAAATAAATTATATTTTCTTTCTTTATTTAACTTTTGATTGATTCAACGTACATTTTATTGATTATTTTATCAATATTACGTTTACCCTATTACATATAGTTTTCGTTGATTAAATTGTTTAATAAAATTTTTAAATTAAAAACTGATTTATAGAATCTGTTTTAATTTCAGTTCCAAACGCTATGTACCTTGGACTGTGGAAGTTAAATCAATCTTCACTTATTAGCTGGATAACCAGTCAAAGCCTAGACTTATTAATATATGATATTTTGAATTGACCTCGATTTTTATTGATTGTATCTCACAACCGATCACTGGGGGGGAAAATGGTGATCTTAACCACCTTTTCCTTTCATTTTTTGGTTTTTTTCTGACAAGTTGTCACCTAAATTTATCATATCGTTTAAATGTACCGCTCTGTTGCATGAGAGATTGGTAACTGCCTTGCTGTTCTGTCAAAAAATTTTTGACCTCAAGGCCACTGTCTCTTAACGTTATTTGCGTGGGTGTTAAACCTGTTGCTTTTCATTTACCTAGAGCACCTTATAAGATAAAGACTGGTGACTTCATTTTACTTTTAAATATTATATTTCAATCTTAATTTATTAATAATATTACTTAAGGTTAAAATTAAATGTAATTAATAGTATATTGTTGGAAGTTCACCTTACGATCTTTCTAGTTCTCTTGCATACTACTTTTAATACATAATACATTTTTTACATAATTTTTTATATACATGTACAATTACCACATGTTCTATTGCTGTGCTAAGTTTGTTAATTTGGAAACTGATGGTGCTTTCCTATTAGAAAGCGAAACGTCTTCAATAAATAGATAAAGTAGCCACCTTCTTTGTCTTTTTTCTCCACCTTTTGACCAAAAAACCCACCACTCTTATTTTTAATACTTATAATTTTTTTTTTATTTTACTTATTTACTTATTTTTTTAATTAAATATAGATTAATCTAAACTTCGGAAAACATAATTAGATAAATTAAGGAATTGCCTTACCTTGATCTAAGACATCCTGCGATATCCATATTCTCTTCTTGATGCTGCATTCCAGATTCCATGGGCAGGCAGCCAGTCTGTTTTCCTACACTGGTTCTCAAGCTTTCGGCGTTTCGGACGGTTGCCCACGGACTAAGCGCAGTTCCGCTTAAAAGCACCACTCTTCTGAAAAGTCCTGAAAACAGAAATTAAGATTAATGTCCGACTGACATGATGTATGGGATGCATATTCGTCGCCTTTTATCTTGCTGGCCTGGATTTACACCGTTTGATTTTTGTCAGTGCCGTGCGACATAATATTGAAATATTGCAGAAATAATATATCTGATTAATTATAAAAGAAAGTTGTGGAACAAATATGGACGTACAAATCGCATCAATCTCTACATGAAGCTCGTGTTGCCTACGAAGAGAGTATAGCCATTAGTAATAACTGTAAAAAATTTTACAAGTATATTAGATCTTCGTTGACAACAAAAGTTTCTATACGTTTACTGGAAAATGATGATGGGGATATATCCCATAATTACTATGAGAATGCCGAAGTCCTCGTCAGTACTTTCTCTAAGGTTTTCTCTGTCGAACCCACTAATCATCAGTTGCCGAATAGTACTTCGTCACGAGTTTCTTCTTCCCTTGAAAATATAATCATAACTCCTGAAAAAGTTAAACATCATCTTCAAAGCCTAAAAAATAATTCGTCTCCTGGTCTCGACTTAATATCTTCTTTATTTTTAAAAAAATCTTGTGATGCTTTAGCTTACCCACTATATGTGATTATGGCCTTATCATTTACCACATATATTTGTCCTTATCATTAACCACATATATTTTGCCTCCTATGAACGGAAATCCGAAGTGGAAACCGAAACGTCAATAAACGTATTTAACCTTTAATTGTGGCTTATTCACAGTTAAATAGTAATTAATTTAAAATGCCACAAGAAAATAGCTTTAGAACAATAATATATGATCATTGCTCAATTAATATATTGTATATAAAACCGTAGAAACATTTACTGCAAAGGTTCACTCTTTAAATAATAACATATTACCAAATTTAATCACTTCGTGTTAAGCAGTATAAATTATAAAGTTGTATTCTATTCATATTTCATGAGTTTTTAATAAAATATTACCAAATTATTAATTTCATACCACATAAATTATACATTAAAACACAATGATGTACAAAGCAATGAGCAAATTACTACGTTTTATATTAACAATATTGAATGTTCTATATGTTAATTCGTTAATTTTAAATAAATATGCGAATCATAATTTATGCAAAAATAATTTTGTTCTCTATTTATTTTTCATAATATTATTGGTCTCCAATTTACCGCGAAAACTATTTGTAAAATGTTAAAAATAAATCGGAAATGCTGAAAGCCACAAAAACTAGATCAATTATTTAAAAACTCACATCGCCATATTATATATATATTATATATGTTATACATTATATATATAATATATATATATATATATATATATATATATATATATATATATATATATATATATATATATATATATATATATATATACAGTGTGTATAAAGCTTAGCCAATGAACCTTGCTAATATACACTTAGAGTACGAACAGGTATTATGTTCGTAGCTAAACTTATTTTAGACTTTACTGTTTTTCCAGGGCTGGTTCACTAATTATGATAAATAACTACAACGTTGGTATACTACAAAATTCTATTACACACAGTACAGTACCATTAAACAAAATTCCTTATCTACGGAGGCGGTAATACAATTTTTAGAGGTACGTCATTGCGTAAACGAAGGTAAAACCCCATACGGTACGCACTCAACCGCTGTTACTTGGTGACTGACTAAAAATGTGTTCTCCTCGAGGCGTAGCGGGGTAAGTACCTGCGTTTTTAACAGGTCAAAAGGAGAGATAGACATAGCAGATAACATACGGGCAGTTGAAAAACAATGTACATTTCATTAAAAATATTTTTAACTGTTGTAAGTTACAACATCCTGCCCACACGTTGAAGGGTTCCCTTCAAAATTAAGAGGATTTAACAACAAATTACAGAAAGAAAATAATATATACGTAATAATATAAACTAAGAAAGAGGTTTGTTCTATCATAAGTTCGAAAAGTAAGACGACACTACAAACACTAACCGCACTCGCGAATAAACACTACCTTAAAAACTATTCTTATACTAATTAACATTAACGGTTATAATCTGGTAAGGGACATAGTTTTGCAATTGAGCGAGTAAAGATTCCATCCTTAGTTTGTACCTTGACAACTCTAACTCTCTTATTGTTTCCTGGAAAAACTTCAATCACTCTTGCCAGGGGCAACTTCAAAGGAGGAATATTCTCATCCTTTAAGAGAACCAAATCGTTCAATTGCAAATTTTCCTTAGTTGAGGTCCATTTGGGCCTATTCTGTAGTCTATTTAAATAGTCAACCGTCCAGCGTTTCCAAAACAGCTGTTGAATTTTTGTACTCTTTTGCCAAATTGACAATCTATTTTCGGATATATCAGAAACATCCCTTTCAGGAAAAGAAGTGAGAGGCTTACCGATTAAAAAGTGTCCTGGAGTTAAACAAGAGAGATCTGAAGGATCGTTAGATAAAGAACATAGAGGACGTGAGTTCAGAACAGCTTCAATTTGAGCGAGTACGGTACTGAACTCTTCAAATGTCAGTTGAGAATTTCCTATCAGTCTAAAAATATGATATTTTGTGCTTTTAATGGCGGCTTCCCATAATCCGCCATGATGAGGAGAGCGAGGGGGGATAAATTTCCAACTTATTTCAGAAGCAGCAAGAAAATTTTGGATTGAGTTAGACGTTTCCTTATTTTTTAAAAATGTGGAGAACTCCTTGAGTTCTTAGCACCAAAGAAGTTTGAAGCATTATCACTGTAAATTATTTTTGGATTGCCACGCCTACTAATGAAACGTTTGAGTGTGAGTATGAATGCCTCTGTGGAGAGTCCTGACACAAGTTCTATATGGACCGCACGGGTAACCATACATACGAATATGGCAATATAACATTTTATTACTGGAGCCTTACGAAGTCTTGAACTCTTTATAAAAAAAGGTCCACCAAAGTCTGTACCTACATTGGTAAATGGGTGTGAGACAACTAGGCGTTCTTTGGGTAAGTCTGCCATTAGTTGAGAGGCAGGTTGAGCCCTAAATCGAAAGCAAGTGATACAAGAGTGGATAATTTTCTTTATTGTTCTTAATCCATTTAAGGGCCAATACTTGAGACGAAAATTGGAAAGGGTGTTCTGGGCACCTGAATGACATAATCTAATATGTTCTCTTTTCAACATAAGTTGGACGATGTGATGTTTGGAGGGCAACAGAAGTGGATATTTCTGATCAAAGGGAACGTGAGCATGCTTGAGTCTACCACCAACTCTTAACATCTCCTTATCATCAAGAAAAACATTTAGTGAAAGAAGAGATTTGTTGGAAAGAGTTTTTTTCGACTTAAGCTCTGAAATTTCTTGAGAAAAGTAAACAAGTTGCAAAAATGTAATTATTTTTTGCTCAGAGGAATGCAACTCTGATACTGAAAGGGGGCCGTACCTTCTTACAGAAGAGATAGTAGCATTGTGTATGAATCTAAAACAATAAGCCAGGGTTCTTTGAAAGGTTGAGAAGTTTGAAAACTTATTTGACATGGAACAACAAAAATTTTCTATAGGGTATTGTTGAGTTTGCATATGAGATAATCTTCTTTCCTCGGGTGGATTAGAACATGTCATCCCCTTGTCACAACTATCTAGAGTTAGATCATATTTACCAGCCGGCACTAATTACACAGGAATTTTCCACTTTAAGACCACGTTTATCTTACTTTTTTCTTCACTGATGTAACCAAACATTATAATATATCCGTGCTCGAGTAGGACCATAAATGTATAAAGCTTAGCCAATGAACCTTGCTAATATACACTTAGAGTACGAACACAGTGAACGGCTAAATTATGGACTATTATCATTATTTCGAGAACCGTCGAGTTTTGAGGGAAATCCCGAAACGTCGATTTTTGTTATAAAATACCCATCAAACGATTGTATGTCCTCACGTCTTTGAAAGCACAATTTATCTGGTATTAAATTATGCCTAGATTTAACAGATTTACCTCTATTATCTCTTGAAGTGGATCCAGTCACTAGTAGGTGGCATAATCTTCTGACGTGCTTTTCGCCAACACCATATAAACTTAAGAAAGCTTTCTTACATACTTGCTTACGTACTCCTTTTAAAACTAACATGAAAAAAAATTATTATTGAGTTTCTCAATACGTTTAATAGCATTCTGAGATTATCTTATTTTCTTAATGGGAGTTGCTTCGATCATATTTTGTAAGTAAAATCTTGTGAGTTTTTGTCATCAAGGTCATGTAACGACATAAACAACGCATTCTTGTCCATTTCCGAAAAATGTTCACAACACTTCATGCGACAAGTACAGTCGTTTCCAGTTTTTCGCGCCACAACTTGTTTTTCCGTGTGATTAGTGTTTTTTCGTGTGATGGGCTTAGCCCTTAACTTAGGCCTTGTTAATAACTTCACTTTTATACAGGGACCGATTAATAATACCTTTCTTTCTTTTTCTTTGTTTATTTTCAATAATGACACTGGTTTCAGTATCAGAGCTACTCATTTATGTATAAACGATACACAATGGAATCTAATTGTACTAAAGATAATCATCAACGGGTCTAAAAAACTAAGGCCGTCCGCACATGAAGCTACTAAAAAGAAACTAGTTGGTAACTTTAGTTACCAACCAGTCGCTTATTAGTTACTGCCCATGTATTTTTATCAGTATCCGCACACAACGCTACTAGTTAGTAACCGGTCACTAATGCATCAGTGATCAGTCGACAGCAGACTGGACGTGCAGGTCGCTTGCTACTAGTTTCTAGTGAGTTTCTAGTTTGTTGTGATATTTTTAACACGCAAAATGGCGAAATTGGCAGAACAGTCGTTTAATAATTAGTGTAAGAAGTGGAAAAATATCCCTGCCTATACAACTATACGTTAAATGAATATTCGCGTAAAGAAATTACCGAAAAGGCTTGGAAAAGGGAATTACATTTAACAGGAGTGTTTGTCTTTTGAATAGCAGGTACAAGTAATTGTACTAAATGTAAATAAGATTCTTTTGACATTCTGTAAAATGCAAGAAATTTAGGATCACTTTCTTGTAATTCTTTTGCAGCAACAAAGGCTCTGCAATTTATGTTGTTTGCAATGTATGGATGAACCCAATACCTCCTTTTTTTCTGCATTTTACGTCTTCTATTATAATAATAAAGAATAATATCTTTATCACTTGAGTCACTAGACATTTTTAACGCGATAATAACACTCAATAATATAATATAAAGGATAATATTTAAACACCCTATAACAAAGCTACTCGTACAGGCAAGAAGTGTCTAGTTTCTATTAATTTTCGGTAGCGTAGCGTGCGAGTCACAGTCACTAAACAGTTGGTCATTCTAGTTACCAACTAGTTTTAGTTTCTTTTTAGTAGCTTCATGTGCGGACGGCCTAAGAAGGTCCGTGACCGTAACCACTAAATCACGGAATGTCCGGCGCGCGCAGTTTGTTTTGAAAACGCCACATCTCAGGAGAAGTGGCCTTTTCGAAATAACCGATTAATTTGATTTAAAAATAACTTGCACATTTTAAAATTTCAAATGCAATTTTTTTGTTCAAATATACCAAATTATATTTAAATATTTTAAGGTTTATTTAAACTTTCCCACCAAAATTTAATTGTGAAATTCACGCGCAATTTTCCGCTTGAATCTCTGGGAGCGCTGAATTTCATATCCAACTAAAGACTTAAGTATTGTCGTGAAGCATCCAGATTCTAGAGGCATAGTACATAAAAAAATAGTAGTGCAAGAGAGATACGACAGCGGGGAAGTCTGTTCTAACGATTACACTCGAACGTAATGGCGGCGGCGCTAGAGTCGTTCTAGGTGGGGATATGACATAGCGGGAGACGCAGAGATATGAACAAAGACGTGTACATATGCTTTATAGACTATGCAAAAGCATTCGATAACGTAAAGTACGAAAAGATAATTGAAGTTCTCCATATGATCGGAGTCGACTACAGAGACATTCGAACAATAGCGAGTCTCTATTGGGGTCAAACAGCTAAAGTGAAAGTAGGATCTACATTGACCAATAAAATTAAGATCAAGAAGGGGAACGACACGGCTGTATCTCGTCTCCATTTCTCTTTTGAAAGAATTGAACACGTGGATTCGTACATCTACTTGGGAACAACAGTTAACTCAAATTGGGATCAAGCGAAGGAAATACGTATAAGAGTAGAAAAGGCAAGAGCATCGTTCACTAGCATGAAGCAAATTTTCACCTCTAAAATCCTCACCCTACCTCTCAAAATTCGACTTCTGAAATGTTATGTATTCCCGGTTTTGTTATATGGAATGGAGGCGTGGACAATCACCGCAACATTGATGAAAAAAGTAGAGGCCCTTGAAATGTGGGCTTACCGACGTATATTACGTATATCCTGGACTGAGCAAGTGACCAACGAAGAGGTACTACGCCCGATAGGTAAAGAGAGAGAGGTAGGAATAAGTATAAAGAAAAGAAAGTTGCAATACTTGGGTCACGTTATGAGACATAATAAATGTAGAGTACTACAGCTGATCGTTCAAGGGAAAATAGACAGCAGAAGGGGTCCAGGGAGGAGAAGACACTCGTGGCTCCAAAACTTGCGGCAATGGTTCGGATTGTCATCTGCTGAACTATTCAGATCTGCCGTAAACAAAGTCAGAATAGACATCTTCTTCTAGTTCCATGACCGTTATCGATCGTTGGATATCATGTTGGCTACCATATTCGCTATCGTGACTTTATTGACAGCAGCTCTAAATAACGATGTAGTTGATTTTCCATACCATTGCCTTAGATTTTTCAGCCATGATGTTCTTCTTCTACCAGGACCGCGATTACCTTGAATCTTTCCCTCAATGATCAGATGTAAAAGATCATATTTTTCAGGGTGTCTCATAATATGAACGAAGTATTCCAGCTTGCGTTTCTTTATTATATTGACCAGTTGTGTTGTTTGGTTCAGCCGTCATGAACAGCCTTTGGTTCAGAATAGACATGGTGATTGCCAACGTTCGAAACGGACAAGGCACATGAAGAAGAAGAGAGACGCATATGCCGTGGAAGAATGTGAAGAATGAATATTGGTGTTGGTACGCCATTGCAAATTTAATTTTGTTTTGTCTTTGTTTTAATCATCTTGAAATATTAAAAAAGTTTTAAACATTGTTCCACGATCGTTAAAATGGAACAAAATAAAAGGGTACTATGGTCTGTTTTTTAACCAGGAGGAGTAATTCAAATTTTCCGCGCTTTAATGCTTGTTTGCAATTGGTCCAACCGCAGGCAAGTTTACTCTACACTAAATTATGACATATTGACACTAATGACATTTGTGAAATTTATTTATTATTATTATTTTCCTCTAATATATAAATTGATTTCTGACTGTTTAAGTTGTTTTTAATAACTTGGACTTGGTGATATGCAAATAGTATTTATTGTGATATTTTTCTAGATGATATTTATACTAAATATAGTTTAAAGTGTTTATAAATTTATAAATGTATGTCATTTATATCCAATTATCATAAGAAAAACGGCAACTATCTTTTATATTTTATGTATACTTGATAAGAAGCATTTCGATTTTGTTTTCATTACAATAAAAGAAGATTAGTAAAGTAATGTTGTGTTTTAGTTTGATTGTATGATACAGTTGGTTTTGTTCTTCCTAGTTGTAGATCATTACAAGAAAACTGCAAAATTATACAAGAATGTAACATAATAGATTGGATTTGTTGATTACCTCACAGAAATCCAGTATTTTTTAGTAAATTTTATTTGTTGATAACAAATGGGACAAACTCACTATCAAAATTAAACAAGGATCCAGCATTAAAGAAATTGTAAGTACACACTTATTTATACAAAGTATCTGGTAAGAAAAAAACTAGGTTCAAGAAAGTAATCATACCAGAATAAGAATATGGTCTACTATTAAAAGACAAATTTCTGAGAAAAACCATACTTAGATGTGTAACAATATGACTCTCCCGACCAAAATATTCTCTAAATTATAATTAAATACCATAGACTTAAGAGATCTATAAAACTGGATCACCCGATATTTAAATATATATGCATGGAACCAAATGTGAAAAACGTCCTTTTTTTATTGTAATAATTGTAATATATATTGGAAGTGAATTGAAAAAAAATATTTTATTATTCAAACATAAATAAACGAAGTTAGGTTAAAACTGACGTGTGAGATTGTCCAATATTGATTACTCGATTACCGCAAGGCCGAGATAATCAACAACAAAAAAAAAAAGATGTATTTGGTGACTTTTCTAGTAACTTTCTTGAGTGTGAATCTGTCTTTTTGGTTTACTCCAGTGTAGTAAGACGGAAATGTGTAAATTTATAGGACTTTTTCTGTATATGTGGTGTAAAAGTCTAAATGCAATTGTAAGTGTAGAGACAAGAAATACTTCCTTAAAAGTAAACCAGAATATACTAGGATAGATCTTATAAAATTAATTGCTCATAAAAAATGTGAAAGTAGGAGGAAACAATTTTGTAAGTACAGGTGATAAATGTAATTAAATTATTTCCATTATAAAACTGTACAATTTGTATGTTATAGTTCACTTCAATCGATTTTGAAAAGCTTCTTCATTAATAATAGCCTATGCCTTTTATATTGTATACATGTTTTACAAAAAATGTGTGCCTTTTTGTACTTAAATTATTTCTGTTTACAGTCTCATTTTTTCCAATTTGTTGTAAACAAGTAAAATTGTGTTTTCTATTTACTGGACTTATATGGAATCTTTAAAATTCTTTTGATTGTTTTACATATATCTTCATCATCAAATATTTTCTATCTGCTCCTGAATGTAGCTCTCTCACAATTGCTTCCATCTGTATCTACCTTATGCTGTTAAGTTTATAGAAATGATGTTTATACTCTTGTTCCATTCTAATTTCTTAAAAATATCTTATGGAACAAGGGTAAACACTTTGGGAGGAATAGTGAGTCCTTGTCTCACTCCCCATTGTAGTACATAGTTACATATTTTACTTTAGTTATACATAGGTACAAATATTATTTTTTTTTACACTTAAACATAGTTTTTGTTATTTATATATGTTTGTATAA